AGATGTCGGATCAGCGTTTGTTGGTGCGGCGGGGAGATAACTCTGACACTCCCACAAAGTTCTCCTAAATGTTTAGACACTCCCACACAGATCTCCTCAAGGCTCCAAGGCTCCGACGCGATGCCAGCAGCTTGAAATCAAAAACTTGTACTTGGATTGTTGGAATCCAAAAAGCATGGGCAAACTTTGTGGTCCGGGTGGGCAAACTTTGTGGTCCGGGAACCTTTACGTTTTGTCACAACCAGAGAATCAGAGTTTCTTTTCACCGGGGAGGGGAGGGAGAAGAGGGGAGCACGTGTTCACCTTTGGGAGAGGGAAGCAGATCCTGTTTGAGGTTCGCTCCTCTCGTGGCCGGTAGTTTGTGCTCGGGCAGAACGTGGATAGTTTGTGCATAGTTTGTGCTCGGGGCAGAACGTGGATAGTTTGTGCACGGGACAGAACGTGGATAGTTTGTGCTCGGGGCAGAACGTGGATAGTTTGTGTACGGGACACGACTTGGATAGTTTGTGCTCGGGGCAGAACGTGTATAGTTTATGCACAGGGCAGAACGTGGATAGTTTGTGCTCGGGGCAGAACGTGGATAGTTTGTGGATAGTTTGTGCACGGGACACGACATGGATAGTTTGTGCTCGGGGCAGAACCTCACCTACGTCTTTCTTGTGTGTTGGGACAGGAAATGTTGCTGTCTGTAGGGGAATGTACATCTAGATAGAAGGACAGGAAATGTTGCTGTCTGTAGGGGAATGTACATCTAGATAGAAGGACAGGAAATGTTGCTGTCTGTAGGGGAATGTACATCTAGATAGAAGGACAGGAAATGTTGCTGTCTGTAGGGGAATGTACATCTAGATAGAAGGACCCCTTGCATCATTTTTTAAATTGTCAACGGGACAGCAATCTTTTGCTGAAGTTCAGAAAGTATATAAGATATAAGAATTGGAACTTGCAATAAATGATATTGTGTTTTGTAAATAACTTGTTGCTCATGATTTTTCCATGTCTAGACTGAATGTTTTTCTTTGTTTGGAATGTTTTTTGATTGGGTTGAAAAGACCATTTAGTGGTCGCAGGTTTCATCAGTACTCTTCATAATCCTACTCATTATTTTAGAATTGTGTCTTTCTATAGATAGATATCTATATCTATGTATGATTGTTCTACTCATGTCTATGTATGATTGTTCTGTATGATTGTTCTACTCATGTCTATGTATGATTGTTCTGTATGATTGTTCTACTCATGTCTATGTATGATTGTTCTACTCATGTCTATGTATGATTGTTCTACTCATGTCTATGTATGATTGTTCTGTATGATTGTTCTACTCATCAAATGATTTCATAAGATATTCCTTATTGCCTCGCAGGCAGTTTCATTTGTATGAAAACATTTTGTCAGCCCGTAGGATTGTTTGTGTGAGCTGTGAATTTTGATGAACACTTCCTGAAGCTCTCTGTGTGTTGTGAAGAGCTTGGGTTGGACATGTGCAATAATTCTGATGTTCTGTGTCGTTGATGGGGCTAGCCCAGTTGTTGTCTGGCCTCCTAGCTGGCTGTGTTCTCTGCTGTCTGGAGAGGAGCCGGTGAGAGCACATGTTTTGTGGTGACCTTGGATGTAACGACTGTGGTGACCTTGGATGTAACGGCTGAAGCAAGAATGTCTGGTCAGCTGTGATGTTTACAGTGGTTTGTGAGTCTGTGTGTTGTGTGTTTGTTGTGTCGTTGTTCCAGCTTTGTCTCGCAGTTTGATGGAGTTAAATATTTCTGATGGTCAGATAGTTCTGATGGTCAGATAGTTCTGATGGTCAGATGGTTCTGATGGTCAGATGGTTCTGATGGTCAGATGGTCAGATGGTCAGGCGGTTCTGCCTATTTGCTCCAACTTCCTATTGTCTGAACTGGTGAATTCTGCAGGGGTTCACAACTGAAAATGTTTGTTTTGTTCCCGTCTGCGAGGGTTATGTGTCGGTCACTGAGTCAGTCGTGACAGGTTAGGCTACATGTCCACTGTGACAGGCTACATGTCCAATGTGACAGGCTACATGTCCACTGTGACAGGCTGCATGTCCACTGTGACAGGCTACATGTCCACTGTGACAGGCTACATGTCCACTGTGACATGCTTAGGCTACATGTCCACTGTGACAGGCTACATGTCCACTGTGACAGGCTACATGTCCACTGTGACAGGCTACATGTCCAC